CTACAGTCTGAACTCCACTGTAAAAATAAGTGAAGTGACAGCATGTTTTTCACCGAAAAGAATCTACTGGACTCATACATGTCAGTATTGTGATAGCTCCTATTTTGCCAAAAAGAAATACACTTTATACTTTTATGAAATTCCTTCAAAGTCTTCAAAACAAATAATAAATGGGCAGGAGTGCATGTAAACTACAACTGGACTGGTTGGCAAAGGCTTACAACCTCTAGTATTTAGCTGTTTTGTAATCTTTCTAACAGCTACCTTGTTCTGATTTGTAAGAAAGACTGATTTAAAAAAAAAGAAATACACAAAAATAAGTGCTCTCATAAACCACACACCTCTAGTGGTCACTAATAAGCCTCTAATCTACACAATGTGATCAAAACATGGCATATGGTGTTTGTCCTCCTGCAAACAGTGCCAGACAGGCCACTACAAAGCAAGGGCTGAACTGGATATCACACCGGGTGACTGGGTTCTCAGCTTTATCCCAACCCTGCTGTTTGTCCACACTTAAATGACTTAGTGCCACTCAAACACAGATCAACCAGCTTACAGGTCAAAGTGTTAATGAGAGGACATTGTGTTTTCAGCTGAGGCTGGCAAAGGCCAGGTGGGAGTTCTAAAGGGAAATGGTAGCCATGTGGAGATGTTCTCTGTACCTATCTAGTCCTATAGGCCTGGGACTTCTCATTTGTAACCACCAGCTGCTCTGCTGCACTGAGGCTGCACACACAGGTAAGCAAGTTTCTCTGTTCCCTCAAGATTTCAACTTTTAAAATTTATGTGTATAATAACCAGGAAGAAAGTAAAGAGTGACACAGGCAGGGATCTATAATTCAACCAATCTACTGTGCCAAGAAGCCTGGCTTACAGCCAGAAGGGATACAGGAGTGGCAAGCCAGATAGAGCGCTCTGCCAATGCTGTAATGCCTGGCACAGGCGCATTGTTAGGGACACTGTTATAATGATTCATTTTCCATCCAATAATCTACGGTACACTGTGTGATGTCCACAACGGGTCTATATAGCTTCCAAATTACTGCTAAATATGCTTTTCACCTTGAAACAGGAGCTTTATTTAAAGCCTGAGGAGAGTATCTATCACAAATGAGATTTAACTAATAACAATTCTGTAATTTGGGGCAGGTCACTCTCACTATAGTTGCGAAGATGAGCTGCAGGGTGGGCACTGACCTTGAGCCTACACTGACAGTGTCCACAGTGATGATTTTGGGACCATCTTTTTCTAGTTTGTAATAAATGGTGCCAAGATCAAATAAGGCTCACCCTGGGGACAAAAGTAAAGCAAAAGGAATTGAAATAAAATCCAATTCCAACTTACTTCAATAGGAGCTGTGTAGAAATAACATTAAACATAAGCTTGGATGGCTGATCTCTAAAAACACTGTTTGCAAATATGAACAATGAAATGCCCAGCAAAAAAAAAAAAAAAACATAGTAGACAATTTTCACTTTAAAACTGTCGAGTTCTTTCAGGAACTTATTGGCACCATGTGATGTGTGTAAAAATGGCACACATCACTTTTTAATGCTTGACTTTACTCATACTAAATTGTAAGATTTAGAGGTTTTGAGGCACATATCACCCAATGAATTTTCGACAGGCCTTGTTTCACCACTGCCTTTGATTTACAATGGAAAAAAAAATGAATTATTCAGTTTTCTGCTCACTTCAAAGCTCCTATTTTAAGTTACTGCACGCCTTCTGTGTTGTCTCTGCACTATTATACTCTGAAGGTGTTAAGCTATACTGAGGAATTTCACAGAAACATTGCAAAATATCTGTATCTACAAACATTAAAACATCTTGTAATGCCTGAGTGCCATCAAGAAATATCTGATCAAATCTGAACACTTCGCCTAAAGTTTTCAGCCATCTGGCCTCAAGGTATTAAGTATTGATAAGTAGATATATTTTTACTCTTTGTGTTTGAAACCCAACATACAATTTTGATCAGATGTGTACTATTTCAGTACTCAGAGAGGTCTCCCTCCAACAGCAAGGATACCACGGGCAGTGTCCGTGATGTTATTGCTGGTGATTTACTCCCAAGGGGTGTCCACGGCCTCCGTCCAGCACCTGTGCGGCTCCCACCTGGTGGATGCCCTCTACTTTGTATGTGGAGAATGGGGCTTTTTCTACAGTCCAAACAGACACTACAAGTGAGATCTGGAACATCTGCTTGGTAAGTAAGGCTGAATTAATGATGGGAAGAGTTTAAACTTTTTTGGGGAGGAGAACATGTATAAAATTAGCTGTAATTGTCCCTTTGATGATGAGTTCACAAAGGAACAGCATGACATTGACCTCACGCTGGCTTTGTGTCCCAGCAGTGACCACTATGTTCAAAGTCTAGGTGCAGTCTAATGAGAATGCTAATTTAGATCATGTTTAGGGACAGTACACTGGAAACGGCACTGAACTTTTCCACACTATCAATGTGCAAAGCTTCTCTGTCTCTTTTGAATTCAGTGCTGAGGACAGGCTTTTGGTTTCCTATTGTTGCTTTTAACATCTATAATGTGACAAATCAAAGTCACAAACCTTGTAAAATCCCCCAAAGCCATCATTACATTATTCCCAAAACACATAATTTGGATCATCTGCCTCAGTCTATTGATGTTTTGAAGTGAACTTTGGAGGTGAGTTCCCTCATATCTCCTCTTGAAGTAGAGACCAACAAGACTAAATGGATTTGGGGGATCAGATTACATAGCCATTATGTCTCCATTAAAGTGTGAACAGTCTAAATGGTAGTTTGAAGAACTAGAGGTTTGAACAGCAGCGGCAGGATTTAACACAGGGCTATGGAAACCTTCTTCACTTCAAAGGGTTCCTGTCTAAAAGGGCCAGACGAGAGCAGCAGCTGTGGAGGGCCCTGTCTGTCCATGATGAGCCCAAGGTGAAGAGAGGCATCGTGGAGCAGTGCTGCCATAGGCCGTGCAGCCTTTACCACCTGGAAGGCTACTGCTATTGACTTGTCACTCCACAAATAGTACCACTCAAAGCTTGTAAAAAAAAGAAAAGGTCCCAAAGATAAGTTCTGACCCTACAACTGTCTTATCAACTGAAGGAAATAAAGCTTCGTGACCCATAACCCATGGCTCCTCTCTTCAAAAGATGTGAATTCTTTGTAGCTGTTATACAGTGCGTATGACACATAAGCTGCAATTGCATTTTGCTGTGCTCTATCCTGTGGCTGCAGTCCTATAGTGCTCCCTACTGGCTGAGGACAGACATGGCCAAGAAGACCAAAGCAACATTTTTACACACTTTGGAAGTAAATCTCAGTAACACATTCATCAGTCATTGCAGAGATATTTAAGAAGAGTATTAAAATCTGTCTTTATTTACAAACAAAAAGATTTAATAGCATTTCCACATTAGATAGTGACTGGTTCTGCTGCCCTAAATTTTGCTAAGAGGCTCCAAGCATATACTTCACCCAACAAAATGCATCTTGCATTTGTATGCTATACTTAAAACTTGCATCCACCTGTGCCCTCATTAGTTTCACACACCGCTCTTGCACACACACAAAGTCTGATCCTAAAACATTTTTAAAAGTCAGTAGAGAAAATGTAAATCCACAAACTACTTGCCACAAAGGGCTGTAAAACATCAGCATGTGAGAATACAGTTAACACTTGTAAGAGGATGATGAGTATTCAAAAGGCCAAACCATAAAAATTTAATTCAAATTAAATCAGCCAATTAGTTGTCAGTTCTTGTCTGCAGGAAGAGATCCATTATGCATGATGATTTCCTGACAAAAACAAACAAGGAATTAGCTTTCCCCACAGACAAATCATCAACAAAAAAACGATACCTAATCAGTTCTTATCACGTCTTATCATATCTCTGGAGTATTGCAGACAGAGGTCAGTTTACTGCCTACCTTCTTTCAGTGGTTCAGTTGCTTCAGTTTGCCTGTTCTCTTTGTTGTGCTGGAAAGCTTTGCTGGGATCAAACCTGCGGCGTGGAGCACCAGGGAGCTTTGACTTCAGCTGCTCCAGGTCACTCTTTTGTCGGCTCACCTGGGAGCGAAGCTTAGACACCTCCTACACACACACACACACACACACACACACACACAGCAAGAAAAAAGGGGATAAACGCAAGCATTTGAGCTTGAAACAACAGTTGTGTGTGTGTTTCTTGACAAGCACAGTACTGTTCTTATGTTTCACCTGTTTCAGGGAGATGTTCTCATCTTTCAGCTTCATCACATGTTTGATCTTTTGTTTCTGGTTCTGGTGGCCAAGCAAGTGAGCGTAAGCACCAGCCAACTTATTTAACTCCTCCTGGTTTGCCCCATTCTCATTGAGTAGTGCATCTCGCTCTGCTGCAAATGCATTGAGCTGTTCCTGCGGGCACACACCAACTAGAACATTGAGAATATTGTAGCTATTCCATTTATTTTAACTTAAGATTTGACCGATGCAAGAACTTGTGAACAAAACTGATGTGAAGCATTATCACCTTTAAACATCTGTCTCTTTACCTTAGTCTGTATATAAAAACTGATGACACCTCATCACTTCCTTCCTGTCACTATGCAGAAGTGAAGCCAAAAATTGTGATTATGAGGGCGGCCATCTGGCTTTTGTGACATTTTGCAAACAGGTTCTGTGTTGCAGCAACCACAGAAGGAGTCGCAGCATCAAACCGCCAATAAGGTTGTCAAATCGTCTGAAAGACGCCCCTTTTTATATCAAAGAATTTTTAAAAAACAAATTACAAGACAAAAAATTACACAAATCAGAAAGATATCTACCTATAACGACACAAATCACCTTCAGCAAAAATTTGATTAGTTCTTTGAAATTTTATTTTGGCTCATGTCCCATCTGCTAACATGGAGGGAGTGGGGTTTATGACCTATACTGCAACAAGTCACCAGGGGGCGATCACTCACAGGGGCTTCACTTCTGGGAGTCCTCATGTTTTCACTTGAAATTGTACTTAAAGCCACCAAATAAATGACCTGAAAAACAACTTTACAGCTGTTGAGGAAAAAAGTAGCTCATCACAATGTTCGCCAGCTAATTGCTAAGTTTGTCTGCTGTGTGGTGCTGGGCAGGTCCCATACTGTATAACATACAGCACATTTGTCAGAGGTTTTTGCTAAAAACAACCATACTGCAGCTGGAACCAACATTGACAAAAGCAGCAAGACCGAATCTAAACTGTGAAATAGTTTAGTACAGCTTTAACCAAAGAGGTTCTAGGCTAGTTAGAGTACATATGTGGATATGACTCACCTGGAATGGTCTGACTTTAGCAAACAACTGCTCATACTGTTGCCTCCAGGGATCCATCTCTGAACTTTGGGAGCTTAGAACAAAGGAATGAATTAAACTTTTCCAATTACAAAACCACACATGCATAAAGTTCTTTTTAAATCCAGTCTCACTCACCATTTGCCTTGTGCTTGAGCCATTTGTTTTTGTAGCTCCTGTCGCTGCTCCTCCATCTCCCACTGCAGCATAACCTTCTCCTGAGTCAGTACTGCTACCTGCTCCTGCAGAGCCTGTCTGCCTTGCTGTTGCTCCTCCACCTCCCGTTGCAGAGCCAGCATTTTCTCCTCCATGAGCTCTATTCGAGCATGGAAGCTCGCACGCTGTTGTTCGTCCTTAGATAGGAGATTCTTCTTTTCCTCATCTGCTCTCACAAGCTCGGCCTGTACTCTGAGCACCTCTAACCTGTCCTGCTGGTGCTGCTTCCTTTCAGCCTCCAGTGTTCCCCTTTCTTCCTGCAGAGCTGTCTGAAGTTTAAGCTTCTCTTCTCTTTCATGTTGGAGCTGTTCCATTAGTTCATCTTTTTCCTGGCTGACCTCATCAAGCTGTTTCTGGGCTTTCTCCTTCTCATTTTGGATCTGGGTAACACACCAAGCTCTGTGTTCCTCTAGATGTCCCAGTGCCTCTTCTTTCTCATTTGTCTGCAGCTGTAGTTCCTGTTGTAGCTGACTTATGAGGGCAGTGTGGCTCACCTCCATGGCTTTCATTTCCTCATCTTTTAGTGCAAGGCAAATCTGCACCTCCAGCAATATTCTATCAAACCAAGGAAAAAGGGAATCTGAAAAGGTGGAAAAGTGACTGATATTATAACACAGAATAAAAGTGAACAGGAAGCATACCTTGCGTTCTCCTCTATGGCTTTTGATTCAGCTAAATGACTTCTTTGCTGCTCCTCGAACCCCTCCTGCACTCTCTTGATCTCCTCCTCTTTCAGTTGAATCTCTCTTTCCATCTCTTTCGTCTGATTTTTCACTCTCTCCAACTCTTCTTCCAGTTCGTTCTGTCTCTCCTCTGCTCCCTTCAGAGCCTCTTTGGTGCTGAAAAGTACAACAAGCAGTCTATAAAGCTTGCACACAGAATGTAAGCTAAACACAAATTAAACTGACATTTCAAGAATGCTTCAATAAATACTGACACTGGAATCCTCACCCTTCCAACTCTGTGACAATCTTGCTCATTGAGTTTTTGTGTGCCTCTTGTATGATGTCACAGCTCTTACTAAAAATGACAAGCACACGGTTATGTGTTGACTTTACTGCTCTAAAAACAAGCATTATCTCACTGCCATTACATCTTTTTATTTTGTTCTGGGGGGGCTAGAGCCAATCCCGGCCGGCAATCCAGCGAAAGGCGGGGCACACCCTGGACAGGTTGTTGGTCCATCGCAGGGCCATAGCCAATTTATTGTATTTTAAAAAAGTATCTATATCCCCTTATGATTATTAAATAAATTACATCTAGAATATAATCAGTTCATATGAACATCATTAGAACATGAGGGGTGTTGTCAGTGAAGGGATACTTGAGTTCATCTGGTAGGGCTATGGAAGTATGTCAGGCAAAAATGTTTGGGAAACACTGGACTAATCAAGCAATCCACAAAATAAGTGTTTAAAGAACGCAACCCTAGGTTCATCTTCATACGCATGCTGAAAATGTTTGGACATGCAAAGTTTACTTTTTTGTTTCTGAAAACTTCTTACCAGCATGTTTGGTCCTTGGTTGCTTACCTTTCCATCAGGGCCCTGGTATCACTCAGCTGTTTGGCCAGATTACTGTTTGCTTCTTGCAGTCTCTGGAGGGTTTCTTGACTTTGCTCCATCACCTCCTGCTTCCTCTGATCTTGGTCCTCCAAGATAGCAAGCTCTCCCAATACCTCCTCCATCTCCTCCTTTAGCTGTCTAATTGCCTGCTCAGACTCCTCCCTCTCCTGAGTCACCAGCACAGACAGGGAGTCTACAAGTGCCTGTAGAAATCAGCAGAAAGTAAGGTGTGGCTGAGGCATCATTGCATTGGATCAAAACCAGGTTGAAGACAAAAAAAAAGCCTGTGCAACCTTTTCTTTCATCAGTTCCTCAGTAAGAGCAGCATGTTCTTGATGAAGCTGAATCTGTCTCTTTCTCTCATCTCGTTTCACCTCCTTTAGCAAACTGAGCTCAGTCTTCAACTCCTGCACTCTCCTCAGTCCCTCCTCCTGAGTCCTGCCTAAAAACAAATACATATACACGCACACACAAAATACATGCATCACAACCATCAATTCATTTTTGCATTTTAAATCAACAGTTACAGGGTCTTGGTGGACATACTTCTCTCTTCCTCAGAGAAAAGACACCGCTGTTCAAGATGCGCCACTCTCTCATCCAGCTCCTTCTCCGTCCGTCTGAGCACCTCTCTTAGCCTAGCAAGCTCAGCCTCCTGCTGACGCACTGTTGCTTGAGAGTCATGAACTTCTTGGTTAGCCAGCTTCATTTGCTCCTCCATGTCACTCAGTGCCTTTTGGGAAGATTTAAGCTCCAGCTCTTGGTTCTCAAGTCTCTTTTCCACTTCCCATAAAGTATCTTTTGACGCCTGCAGCTCTTGTTGGAACTGAAATGCCTCCTCTTCTTTTTGTCTCAGCATATATTGTGCAGTTTGTAAGTCAGTCATACACTGCTCTAGCTCGGTTTCTAGTTGCCTGTGAAGAAGTAACAAATGGGTGTCATAGTGTGCAGTTGAGATCTAATGTGCTTGAAAGAAGCATCAGGTATTTGCTTACTTTACTTTCTCCAGGTGAGAACCTGCAACAATGTCCTCCTGTATCTTCTCTTTGAGCTTCAAGCGGAGATCCTACAAATGCACAAATAAATCAGGCATAGCTTTTGCAAAGCATGACAGAATAAAGAAGCAATTTCACCTTTTGGCCTAGTTTATACCTGGATCTCCTCGTTGGCTGTGTCCAGATACTCCTGCACCATTTTCATCTCCTCCCTTAGCTCCTTTATCACAGCTGGAAAATAACACAGAATTGTGCGTTATAGTATATTTAAGTAACAGGTGTTAACACTAGTGTTTTTTGTACATGCATTTTTATGTGCAGGGGACAGGCTGAGATATATGACATAAGCCAGAAACACTGAAAACAGTCATGGATAAACAGCTAAATGAGTGCAAAGTAAAAAGCATGCCATAGACAGAACTCACCATGTAACCTGACATTCTCATTCTCTAGCTCTTTATTCTGGGTTTTCATTTCTTGATAGAGGTCCTCTATAAAAAAAAAAAAAAGAGTAAAAACCCTAATTACTGCATCTACACACAATGGCAAATGCATCAGTCTCCTTGGCAGCACCATACATCCCTAAAGCTTACCCAAGTCTTTATTCCTCTCATTTAGAGCAGTGACAGTAGCCCTGGAAGCTTGGAGGTCAGTTTCTAGTACCTTCAGTTGGCCTTCACTGTTAACCTGCAGGACACCTAACTCCTGACCACACACAAAATACATAAGCACAATCTAATGCAGCAGAAAACATGCTTGAAAACATTCTCAGTGTTTAGTTGTAAATGAACTGGGAATTTTAGTGAATAATAAGTGTCATACGTGTTACCAAAGGGATACCTTGTTTTTTAAATCCAAAGTGTTCCTGGCCTCTATTAGCTCCATTGTTAGTGAATTGATTCGCTTTTTTGTAGTGTCAGCAGAAACCTAATATGCACAAAGTCAGACTTTTCAAACTGTATTTATCAGAAAAAAAAAAAGAATTAAACACCCAAGACATCTTGTCCAGACTTTCTAAATACACTAGAGCCTAAATATAAGCATCACAACCAAGCATACCTTGCTTTTTAGGAAGTCGTTGACTTTCCTGAGCTCAGCCTGCTGTCTTTCAAGGGTGGTAACACTGGCAGCAAGCGCTGTCTTCTCCCTGACTGCAGCCAGAAGCTTGGCCTCCAGCTTCTTCAACTCCTCTTCCAGGGCCAGCAAGCGACGGTCCTGCTCCCCCCGCTGCTGAATCAGAGATCGGATCTGTAATAATAGGTCAATAAAAGGTCAAGACTCCCATGCACATAATAGAAACACTGCCAAAGCAAACACCTGTTGGCTCAGCACCAGTGTTTCTTTGATGAAGTATACCTCTTTCTCCAAGAGTTGCTGCTGCTTCCTTTCCACGGTCATTCCATTCTTCTCTTTCTTTACACTTGACTCAACCTAAGTTTTGACAAGACATGAAGATTCCCAGTTTTATGATGAAAGCAGTTGTAGGCATAGCAGATCTGTTATTGAGAAGCTATATGAGTGACGTTTTGCTGAAGCAATAGAAAACTTACAAGACCATCAACCGACATTGTCCTACGCACAGGTGACACTAGGACACTTCTGGCAGGAGACTGTGGTGGCAGAAATACCTCAGCAGCTGGAGACACAGGCAATGAAAATAAATGACGCAAATGGATGTTTTATATAGCGGCAACGTTAGGTCTTAAGTTCTCTCTATTTGCTACAAAATGCATATCACACTTGCGTACCTGTCTTAACAGGTCTAAAACGATCAGATTTGATGAAGGACACAGCTCCCTTCACGTCCCCTGGTTTAATCTCATAGGACCCCGGTGGTGGGGCACAACCTTCAGGCAAAAGCACAAGTTGGTGTTAAGTTGTTGTGAAGCTAACACTGATGCTAACGTTACGTCTTTGCTAGTTTAAAAGTCTAACCTGTATTAGCTTGCTTTTGCTTATCTGGTTCCAATAACTTAAGTGAGTCTAACAGGATACCACACTGGCTAAGTGCCGTTTGATTAACAATTAGCCACCCTAATGCTACCTAAGTAAAGTGGAGTTACGTCAACTTACATAATGCACTAACCGCTGAATAATATAAATAGACGGATATTTATGTTGGCCGAATTTTGACACAACTTACCTACGTATTCGTTGAATCTTTTCAGTGGGGCTCTTGAAAAAGACATTTCTAAGCCAGTGTTTTTAACCAAGTTTCAACTCCCAGTATTGAAAACGCTTCACCTCAGCCCCAGATGACACAACAAACGCTCCACCGCTGAAATTTCAAAATAACGTCACGTACGTTTACGTACGCTTACGTACGTATGGCCAATAGGCGTCCAGTCTTGGATGACGTAATTCCTCCCACCCTCGCTTTCCTCTCATACCCAACATGAATGCATTAAGCTATATACACGAACTCCATAAGCGAGAAAATATAAATGTATTTATAGTATATAACCCATTCATCAATGATCCACAATCGCTGTGCTATGGAGAGGGAGTTGGAGCCTTCCTAGTTAAGACTGGAAGAGAGCCGAGGTGCGCACTATATTATGGCCAGTCTATCACAAAGAACAAAAATAAATACATAATAAAATAAAATAAAAAATAAAAAAGTCATCTTTGTTACATGGCCATCATTTGTTGACACTTATTAAAAATGACTGAAAATAAGCTGAAACCCTCAAAAACAGCCTATTTGGTATCCACAACTCCTATCTGTAGACCTTGTCCTAGATTTCCAAGGTAGCATATTTTAAATAATAGGCTATAACAAAAAAACCTTACTTCTTTAAACAATCAATACATGATATTTTTTAAAAATTGAATCTCCTTGTTTCAAAACTTGTCTGTATCCCCGGTGTAAATCAGCCAAGAAGTCTTTTTCAGTTCTTCGGATTACCTACCTATCATGGACAAAGCCCAGAAGATTAGATATTTCAATATTAACAATGCTATTAAATGTAGAACCCATTAAAAACCAGTATCCTAAATACAACTTCCACAGTTTTTCCAGTTAAACATTTTTTATTTCATGGAAATACAACATTATTTCAAATCCTCTGCAGGACCATTGTTGTTCATTTTATACTCTTTTTTTTCCATTTCTTGTACTTGAAAACATGATCACTTGTACAACAATATCATAAACAAAGCCTCATGTCACAAATGGAGCCATTGATGACAATAAATTACACTTGCCATGCTAAGGTTTCAAGATGATACATTGGTACCTTCATTTTTACTAGATTAACCTTTAAAAGAACAAAAGTCAGAGTTGAATAAATATGATAAAAAGACACTGGAGTTACAAAAGAAAATTACTCAATTGAAAACAGAGCAGAAAAAGATCACAGGGCTATTTGAAGAGGGTTACTTAATCATTTGTTCTCCTTCATATGAAAAAAATGGGGACAATTTTTGCATATTCTGTTAACACTGCTAAATCTAAAGCAAAGCTCCAACAATAGTAAATACTGACTATATTTAGGAAACTGCCCTTTAATATAACTGACATTTTAGTTATGATGTTTTGCCTGCAAAATCAAAATCACCCATTCACACTCAAACCAGGTTAATCTAGTACAGCACTGTCTTTATACAACCTAGAGGTATTTTCTACTCATTTTTTTTTGTTTGTTTGTTTTTAGTCTTGAAAAAGCAAACACATTTACCTGGCTGAAAATGTGTCTTTTGCAAACTGTAAATAATATCACTGTAATCATGTACAGAATATAAAAAATCTTTCCAACAGACAAAAAAAGAGAAAAGATGAGGTTCCAGTCAGTACAGAGAGGCAAGTATACCAAGGATGTGTAAATTAAAATATTAATCATTAAAAACAAGAACAATTACAATTACAACACACTTTACTCTGTTCAACAGTGAAATTTACAGTGGAACTGGTACCAATTAAAAATGTGTCCGGGGAAGGCAAAAAATAAAAAATGATTGTGGGTAAGATAAATAGGAGCAAAATCAAAAGTGGGACTCATTCCTTTGAAATGAAGTATTTAAATGCATCATGATGGGCACTATGTATGAAGAACATCAGCAGACCATATGATTATACAACTGAGTTAAAGATCTGAACAGGTCTGACTCATAATACATGGGTAATGATAGCACAGATATACTGATACCTGTGCTATTTCTGTTAGTAGCTGTAGTAGATCACTTCATTTGTTTTTCATTTTATTTAAACCTTGTTGGATTTACTTTTATCTCAGCTTTTGATCGCAAATTCTATGTGTTTACAACTTTGAAGAGATGTAACTTCAAACAAGTGGACCCATAGAGCTCCAGATTAGAGAATAGAGATACTTTTTTTGGCAGTTGTGTCAGTGGATGGATCCACGTGTGCAGCTGAAGGAACAAGAGAGGGCATGCATGAGTCTGAGTACGGGCCACACAGGTAGCAAAATAAAAAATAAAGGGGTGAATATACACCTCCACCTCATTTCTGGTCCACTTCTGTGGGTTTAAAGAATCCAAAGACAAGTCACATTTCAGAGAAAGGAACAGTTTGAGAGGATATGTCTTTGGATTCCTACAGCCAGTGTGAAGCCATAGTGGTAAGGTATACCTCTACAAGACCAGCAAGAGGCAAAAATTAGTATCACAGCTATGGGGAATGTGTGTGTGTGTGTGTTTGAGTGTGTGTGCACTATGTGTGAAGGGTCTTTTTTCAACAGGTGGTAGCCAGGGACTGATGTATAGGAGGTTGGAAACAGCGAACATGCTCCACAGTGGAACTGTCTGTCTCCACCGCCTTCATGTACTTGTTGAGGATAGCAAAGATCTCATTGTTGAGAATCTGGTACTTCCTAATGCGGTCTGCCATCTTCTTCAGGGGCTGTCACAGAAAACAGAACAAACGGGTGCTTTCGTCATTACATATTTGAGTCAAGAAATATCAACTAGTGTGTTTATGCTTGTGAGTTAATATATAGGATACAATATACCCACCACATTTTTGATGATCTCATCCTTGCCATCTTGTCTTTGGACTTTGAGCAAGTGGTAGCAGAAGTCGAAGAGGTCAAAACGACGCTGCTGGCCCAACAGCACAATGATGGCACAGCCGGCCCAGTTCAGCCCGTCTCCAAAGCACTGCCTGGGAGGCAGCGCATGTACGACACAGGAGTTATGCTTCCATTAAAGTCAGGAACAAGCAAGTATATGACATTTCAACAAAATAACATGCAACTTAGTGCATGTTCCATCAGATATATTATGCAAATATAGTCCAGAAGATGTTGTGATATTATGCAAATATAGTCCAGAAGATGGGACAAGTTTCTTTAATTTTACAGCAGTCTACAACTTACTCTACTTACTGCTTACTCTTTACAGTCTACCCTTCCTCTACAGCAGTGTTTTTGTGTTTTTTTTAAATCAGCCGCTAAAGAAAAAGGTAACTGTCTGAAGCTGAGCAGCCAAATATATGTGCACACACAGTATATATACTGTATATACTGAGTAGACCCATGTAATGATGAGCAACAGCATGATAAGGATGCTTTGTCTACAGCTGAGACAACAGAAGCAGTTACAACATTAAGGTGTAATGAAAAAACTGTTTCCCCTAACCTTTATCACATCTTCTCTTTTTAAGATATGCCAACTGTTGCACCTCAGCCAAGACTAAACATTTTTTTGTGATATTTTGCCTTTTATCCCAGTGTTGTCAAGTGTTTTAGCAAAATTAAAACAGACAAATTCCTTCAAAATAAGCTGATGGTAAAATATAATTTTGGAGCGCAGTATTAGTTTATGTTGCATTACATTAGCATAGTTGGTTTCATATTTGGAATCAAACTGAAAAAAATACAAAAAAAAAACAATAAATAATAATAATAATAATAAACTATCAACAAACACACATCATTGGTTGACACTGTACACCAGCCAGGTTTTACTCACTCAGCTGTAAACTCGTTTGTGCCCACCGGGATGCAGTAGACAAACTGCATGGCACTCCACAGACGGTGGAACTCCATACACTCATCAACGTGCATGACACCATTGGTGGGCGGTGGCCCGCGCCACACCCCATCCTGCAGGAAGCTACGGATGCGTGTCAGGATGACCTCAAACATGGAAAGGCCGCAGCACAGACGCTCTTTGGTCAGTAAGTCTCCCTCACGGGCAATGGCAATTTGCTGGCAAAAACAAGAGCCACAACATTTAAGTATGAAAATACAGAAAAAAAAACAGAAATAACAAAAATAACAATAATAATTTAAAGGTGCAGTGTGTAAGATCTAGAAGGATTTATTAGAAGAAATGAGCTATAGTATGCATAATTCTCTTTTCGTCAAAGTGTAATCACCTGAAAAAATGAATTGCTGCTTTTCTATAGCTTAGAATGAGCCTATTATATAAACATGGAGGCAGCCATGTTTATTACAGTAGCCCAGAAGGGACAATCCACACACTGGCTCTAGGGTGTGAATTTTTCATTTTCACAATGAAGCAGCAGCAGCTTGGAATTGGAAATGCTTGGAAGACAAAGTAACGTTAGAAACAAGAAAATACTGTTATTTACTGAAGTTAAGAACTATGATTTGAAGAAATGGAGGATTGTAGTTTTACTTTAACAAAAGAAAACGACAGACAGCATGAACCCCCTTCTTCAAAAAAGCAAAGAACCAAAGAAACGAGATAGGTGACAGCACAGGAAGAAGATAAACACTGGTGTGGCCCTTCTCAGATCCAAATACTTGATGAAGGACAGGCAGGCTAATTTAGCCTAACAAGTAAACATAAATACAAGCATTTGTTTGATAGCTTTAGCTAGAACATGGCCAGTGCTCGGTAACTCGCTGTGGTTAAGTGAGTCGCCATCAGTGTTCACCTGGTCAAATCAGCTGCATTTGTTTTCTGAATGTGCAATTTGTCCTACACTTATGGTACTCACAACCCCACTGCTAGATGTCTCTAAATTTCACACACTGCACCTTTAATGCACCAGAGTGGTGTTAAGCTCACCTGTGGGGTTCCCAACCTCTCAATCAGAGGCACAAGGTGGAGAGGGGCATACTTTGCTTCCAACCTTTTCATCCTCACCTCCAGACGTTCTCCCTCTGTTTAACACACACAGACAAGTAAGGACATGTACATAGGCCTACTGTATAAAATTAAATGTAAAAAAAAACAATGGGTGGTGGACTGAATCCAATTATTTAAATTTTTTACCCATCCGCGTTTAATGTACTGCTTCTAATCCTTTTGTATACCTTTGATGTAGACTCTGGGCAGAATGTTCTGAAAGGGGGCGGCATGAAGCAGGTCGCACACTTCTTCCTGGGACTAAGATCCAAGCACAACACAGAAACAGAACATTTTAATCAAGCACAACACCACTTTGCTTTATAGACACTATTACATAGCATGCAGGTAGACATGAGGTGATGCTGATTTACCTAAATGCCATTATTTAGTCTCAGAATCGGTTAGGTGATTACAACTACAAAATATAGTGCTGACAAATTCCCAAATGACTGCACAGTCTTAAGAAACCTGCCATGAGCTTCACAGTGTAGGAGCATGTTGACAGATTAGTTAACACTGTGTCCAGCATATGCAGAGAAGGATAAAACATAACTAAATTAGTGTGCAGGATTATAATTTGTGTCTAACTCTAGGTGTAGCAACAAGAGGTCAAGTTTACAGCCACCTTAAGCACCTCTCATCCTTCTGGATAAAATGTCAGTGTATTTTTAGCTATGTGATATTGCAGGATAACTACCACTTGTCCAGATTGCTTAGCTTGATGGTTGTCATGGCGATTGTTAGCAGAGACAACAAGCTATAAATCAAAGTAAATGCAGAGAAGCAGCACGTTGAAACCTTGACATAAGGGTAATGAATGAGATGAGAGAGCCATGCAATGATAAAAGCAAGACACACGCACATCTTCAGGATGGCGAAACCAACACACACACACACACAGAGACACTCATTATCCACATAATGCAGTGCAGTCAGACAGTAATGGTAGAAAGAGTGACAGCTGAGCAGTGTTGTGTAGACAGGCATTACAAGAGCCCAGAATCACAAGAGAGTATGGAGGCAGAAGTGCAGAGTTAAGCACAAGACTGTACCAACAACCAAGCAGAAAAGTTCTATCACCTCTTCCATGGAAGACAAGGACATTTTGTAGTGGCAGCAGACACATTTTTATCCTATGATTTATTGCATTATCTTGCCCAAATTTTCGTCTTCAAGTACGCACAGTTTGTTCGGTGTCAGGAACAAAATGACATTTTAAAATTTAAATTTCAGTTTCGTACAAGAAGCTAAAGTGATCTCAGTCCTTTCCCTTCCATGGCTGATTGGAGGTGAAACTTGCGTGTGCCGAAATAGCATGGTGAAAAAGCTGAAAAACAAAAACACAGCAGCCCAAACCAACATGAGATAAGAGAAAAATAAGACACATCCGATCTCTGGGTTGCTGTGTTACCAACAACAAGACCTAAATCCTTACCACCTGTGGTAGTTGCCAGCGTGTAAAGAAAAATAGAGTTGTATTTCAGAAAACACCCCATCAAAGATCAAACACACTTGGGGGGACTGGGGGCCTGACAGTTTCCATCAGTTATATTTGATTTAGGGACACCATAAATTAGGGTGGAAAGCTTCAGGCAGGGTATCTGCCACCCACATAGAACATGGCAGTCAAGACAGTTACACATTAGCAGTCCCATTCTAAGAGCATGCTCAGGGACCACAGAAGGAATAGTGAGGAGTTTGGAATAAGGGCAGACAAATAATATGTGAAAGCACATTAAAAAAACAACACATAAAAACAAAACAAAGAAAGGAGAGGGAGATGGGAACAAGAATCGAAAATGAATAACAGTACTGTAAAATGTGACTACTTGTAAAGAAATGGCCTCACCAGAGCTTGCTCGATGAGCAGGCAGAAGAGAATGGCATTTCCCACTTCCCTTAAGCTCTGGAAGACATCCGTCTTCAGCTCAGCATACTCAATGATATCCTTGAGCTGATGGTGGAAGAACTCCAGGATACCTGAGAAACGCATCCAGATCTATTATTTTACCTCTACAGTGCCACATACAGCCACAACCTACGCGCCTACTAATACCTCATTGACTCATTGATAATCTGTTGCTACCAGGATGAATCAGGATGTCTGCGGGTCTGCACAGTTGCCCTGACCCACATTTGGTCCGAGCATCAGGCCCTCGCAGCAGAGGGCAGGAGAATCACTAACGTCTGACAGTAAGATCACAGGCAGTAAGCCAGGTACAGAAGTCAGGGTACAGAACATCAGTAATCCTCCTCATAGGGATATCCCGCCTGACTGGCCTTTAATCTGCACACAAGGTTCTGGCCAAAAGGGGCAAGACAGGGAATACACAAAGATGCAACGTAAGTAGGTAGAGAAGTAAGGCATCTTTCCTGATCTAAATGGATATTTTGTAGGTGAGAGTTCAATTTTGAAGATTCAGTTGTCTGCAAATAAATAATTTACAATAATTACTGTATATGCTTTATTTTAATTGAAATATATCAACCTTTTGAATCAAACTTGATTTCCATTGCAGCAGAAGAGCCATTTCCACCCACTGCCACCTGGCTTGCTCATTTACACCCCTCCTAACTGTTAATACTGGCTGTTTGAAGCTCATTGATGTAGTGGCCTCTATGTAGTCAGCACTGTGTTCTGCTGCAGCCTGTATGATGCAAATGCTGTACCTCTCCACCTACTTATAGCTGAATCTTCCTCAACTAATGTGTGAATGTGTAAATGCCATGTCCTGACCACAGTCAATGGTAAACTGCACACAAAACACTGCAGCAGTTGAAAGTGAAACTGCCTAGTCCTGTACGGGCATGTACTGAATTGATCAAATAAATAATACTTATATGGTTCAGCTTTTAAACTACATTTTAAAGTACAAGGAGAGATGATTAAACACCCCAATCGAAACTTAGCAGCTAAAATGCTATTCTGAAATATCATGCCTGAGGTGTGCAACAACATGGGGCGGTATCTTTTAGAAATAGAAACTGAGACCAAGAGTTATAGAAAAAAGTCCTATGCAGTCAGTGGACTGCGATACAAAGCGCTGTTCTAAAATATTTTTTAAAGCAGTGGTCTCATTTAAGTGAGATGTTCACTCACTTACAGCTGTGTCAGAGCTGTATTTAGTTACTGTCAATGCAAAGGCATCATCCTACTGTCAAAACGGGGTGGCTTTTATGGTGAAGCAGCAACAGGAAAACAATGTGTCACTGTCGCTCAAAAACAAGACGACTGTCATTTTCTGCATCTTTCCATTAGTAAACGCTGTAATTTTTTTCAATGACAAATCATCTAGTAACAGGTTTGTGAAGGTGCTTCCCCCTGTTGTTGAGGGAAGACAGTAGAAGTATCTCCAACCAACCAGGTAACGTGAACATAAACATATTTAGTGATGTGACAGGTGCAACCACACAATTTCATCCAGCATTTCTCAGGAGGGGATTATGGTAAATGCATCGTTTCCATTGTTAGTTTTAAAAATACTAATGATAAATAATACATCTTAAATGGCATGAAAACTAGTGTGGTAAATGTTGAAAATCTACAGATATAACCCCACATGCACTCTATTTACTATAATAACGAGGACTACAAGCTCACCTGGGGAGCCGTATTCGTGGCGGGGTAGGCGGCAGATCTTGGGCATGACTTCTATCAGTGTCTTTACATACTGCAAGATGGTGCCCTGTAACTGCAAATTGACAAGGGAGATAGATGAGCACAGCAGGCAAGAGGAAGCAAGGGCACAAAGAGGGGACAAAAATGTGACAGTGAGAAGCCAGCACAATGAGGGGAGGGCTACATGTTTTAGGGGACTGATGGAAAATAAAGACAAATACCAGGCTCTTGACTATCTTAAGCAGCTCTTCCATCACTACAGCAATTCCTTGGTAACCAAGGAGACGGCAGATGGTCTTGAAGTGAGGCGGGCCAACAAAGTTTCTGTAGGAGCTATATATGTGGGAGTAGGCAATGTTCAGAGGCTGAGAAGCGAAAAAGAAACAGAAACAGGATTAATCTGGAGCAAACGAAAGAAGGGTTTCCTTTACTCACACTGCTACAAGAATGTATGAATGTCTGGACTGCTCTATGAAATATACATCAATGGTGGCACAATACCTTGGACCCATACAGGTAGTAAGGCTGCACATTGGCTGGCTTGTCTCTTTGAGGCTCTTGGGTGAAGGGAATGGCTGTACGTACAAAGCTGGCGAGAGAAAAAAAAAAAAGTTTCTAGAT